AAGTTCGAGTGAAGAATATATTTCCTATTTCTTTCCGTATTGTTGAGCTTCGGTTATGTTAGTACACACCGGGGACATTGTGACTGCACTTCCTCAAAGGGGGTTTTTCATACGCCAACTACAACTCCCACAAAACACAAAAAACTAAAACCACTGAGATCTTACGAAATATAAGAGCTAGAATATCGATACTAAGCATGTATATTCATGTATATATATTATTCATACGTGTGCCGTGGGCTAAATTGATTTGAGTCGATTCTTGGTGGTGGAGGAGCATCCCATATAGCAGGACGCCTAAGATCGGTTATGCCTCCGCATTGGTCGTCAGTGCAATACCTTACCCATACTTACCAAAATTATCTCGAGATTCCATATGTTATCGCTCTAGCTCAATTTTCTCTCGTTCCAGCTTCTGGCGATCGCGCTCCAGCTTTTGGAGTTTGCGCTGCATCATCGGATGTGCTTATAGAGAGTGGTGGACGTCCGTCTTTCGCTCTCTCTTTCTCAGCTTCGTTGACACTTCGGTTTTCTTAGCTTTCTGAATCTTCTTCGACTTCCGTCTCTTCATCGGATTTTTCGCTATCTTGGCCTTTCTTTTCGGCGTTTGTAAGAAGCTGTCCAAAACGCAAGTTGCGAAAAATATGCAGCTTATGTTCCCCACTTTGTCGATCATTCCCAAAACTATACATATTGAAATTAAATAACGCTCGGTTATGTTCACTTTTACGTATACACATTTGGCTCTGTGCGTTGCGTCGTCTTCGTCGTATTTAAATCCACTAAGCTCGCGTAGTCGTATTCGGTTGTTTCTGCCCAAACGAAACGAAGTTATGCAATGCCACAGGAAAATGTTATGCCTTACTTTCGACGTTTCAAATAAAATTTTTTCACGGAAACTTTTCCGGGACAATGCACCAAATTGTGGAGTTTTATTTATATTATACTTAATAGTAAAGAAACTTTTAACGTATTAGGAGAAGAGTTAGAGGTTATGTTATAACGATTATTGTAGTTCAAACAAAGGGTTCATAAAAGGCAAAGTTCGAAATACAATGCTTTAATTCCGATTATAGGGATATTCCTAAATATGATGACCTCAAAGGGCCTGGCTATCAACTTCACCCTTAAGAAGTTCGATTAGTAATGGATGGCAAATTAGTAAGAGTCTTCTGCAACTGTGAATCCAACGCAGAGGATCAGTTATACTTAATAGTAATGAAACTTTTAACGTGTTAGGAGAAGAGTTAGAGGTTATGTTATAACGATTATTATAGTTCAAACAAAGGGTTCATGAAAGGCAAAGTTCGAAATACAATGCTCTAATTCCGATTATAGGGATATTCCTAAATATGATGACCTAAAAGGGCCTGGCTATCAACTTCACCCTTAAGAAGTTCGATTAGTAATGGATGGCAAATTAGTAAGAGTCTTCTGCAACTGTGAATCCAACGCAGAGGATCAGTTAGGCATCAAATAATAATATACTAATAGAGAGGCTGTGATTTACGGAGTCAAATGCTTTACTGAAGTCAGTATAAATGACATCGAAAGTTTTTTTGCAAACCAGTTATCACGGAAGATGTGAGTTCCAGAAGGTTAGTAGACCGTCCATAAATTCCATAAATCCATGCTGGCATGAAGATATGACAAATCTACTCTGGTGCTACAAGTACAGAACTATAATGTTTTCGAAAAGTTTCGGAATTGGTTATACGAGGTGTGTTCAAAAAGTAAGGTGACTTTTCAAATTTCGCGGGCAACATATTTTCGATTATCGTTTTTTTTGTTTTGTTATATTGGTACACTCTTCCCTAACATCTGTACCAAGTTTCAATGGAACATCCTCTTTTGTTTGGTTGTGAGAGGCGTAAAGTTACAAGTTATTTTGCGAGCTCGGCGATTTTTTGCTTTTTTCGGTCTTGGCTCGTCTGGGCTCTTCCATTGGGACGATTGGGCTTTGGTTTCGATATCATAACCATATACCCATGATTCGTCACCAGTTATGACCCTTTTGAGTAAATCTGGGTCGTCGTTGACGTCATTCAACAGCTCTTGAGCGATGCTCATGCGACGGTTCTTTTGCTCAAAATTCAGCAATTTCGGAACAAACTTCGCTGACACACGACTCATACCCAAAACGTTTGAAAAAATTTCATGGCACGAGCCAAGCGATATACCGACATCTTCAGCAACTTCTCTGATAGTGATTCGACGATTTTCCAAAACAATTTTCGTCACTGCTTGAACGTTTTCATCAGTTGTTGACGTGCTTGGGCGTCCAGAGCGACGCTGGTCATTGGCATCTTCCCGGCCATCTTGGAAGAGTTTGTACCACTTGTACACATTTTTTTTACTCAGAACAGTTTCACCGTATGCCACTGTCAACATTTCAAGTGTTTCAGAGCACTTAATTTTATTTTTTACACAAAATTTGATGCAAATCCTTTGATCCATATTTTTCGATAGCAAAAAATCGCCGAGCTCGCAAAACAACTTGTAACTTTACGCCTCTCACAACCAAACAAAAGAGGATGTTCCATTGAAACTTGGTACAGATGTTAGGGAAGAGTGTACCAATATAACAAAACAAAAAAAACGATAATCGAAAATATGTTGCCCGCGAAATTTGAAAAGTCACCTTACTTTTTGAACACACCTCGTAGTTTAAAAACACCTCTCTAATTTTTAGGATCCGACTTGTCCCCTCTTGTGAAGGGCAACAATAAATGATTCTTTCAGATAGTGACAATTTCCTATTCCGGACTTTCAGTAGATTCGCTTAGTGTTAACAAAACTATGGATCTGTTTTATATCCTTATAGCACTAAGTGTTTGTTCGGAACTGTTATAATTGTTATTTCTACCTGTTCTGTATTTTTAATAAAGTGCTAACTTGATGTTCTTTAGGTTAGTGAGGTACCTTTGTATACCAAGGGGATTTATCCACCATAGCTGAGGTACGTGAATAAAAATCGGATGAGTTAAGATGAAAAATACATTTAAAAGTTTTTAAAAAATCGGCCTTACGAAAAAATCGAAATTTCAAATCAGTTTAATTGCTCTTATGCTTAATAAATAGTCACGTTTCGATCACTAGATCTAATGTAGGATGATAAGGTTCTTCAAGGTGTGCGAGAGGTGGCGCTCTAGATATATGGGGCGTCCGTATCTGAGAGAAAGCACAGATCGAGCAATCGAATTACCCATATTATTTATTTAACCCTGTGATACGTCAAACATGCCAGCGGTAAAATAATGGTGTGACGTAGGGGTTAAAGGTATAGTGTTATCATTAATGGCCCATGCCACCTGGGGTACGTTGAAGTCACCCAACACCACCACCTGAGTCATATCAGATAGCATTGAGAATACAGATTCAATGGCTGTTAGATGCAGCTCACACGTCAAGCCATCGGACTTGAGAGAAACAGCAAGTGCGAGAGAGAGAGAGAGAGAGAGTGTTAGCGAGAGCAACAAAACGTTACAAGAGAGTAGGAGTTGAGGAATAGCAGTGTAAGCGACAGAGAGAGAGAGAGCGAGAGTGTGTATGTTTTCGAGATCTACAAGCCGGTGGGACATGCACAAAAGAGACCACAGCTGTTATGCCGGAGAGATAGGCGGGACAAACAAAATAAAATAGGGAAAAATACAGACCAAAATGCTAACGAATAACAATAATGCTTTGAATGACGCGGAAGCGAATCAGTTTAAATTTTGAAGTACATTAAGTAATCTGAGCATTGTTCGGGAAAAAAAAACAAAGAATTTTAACTGAACGAGAACGAAAAATGACAATGAATTAAAACAAATAATACGAAACGGCTCATACAGGCTATCATTTGATGCACATATATGCTAAAAGCTAAATGGTAAAAAAAAATATGTGTAGTAATTTCGGGTTACCGAACAATTTAATAACATGGATTGGATAAAGTATATATATTCTTGATCCGTCCGTCCGTATAAACGCTGAGATCTCAGGAACTGTAACAGATACAAAGTTGGGATTAAACATAAAGATTCTTGACGTCCCTGGACAGTGTAAGTTTATTTCAGAATCCTGCCTCGCCCACTCTAACGCCCACAAAACACGAAAAACTAAAACAGCTGAAATCTCGGAAACTGTGAGAGCTAAATAGTATAAATTCAGTATGTATAATCTTTGGATGCCGAAAATCAAAAATTCGAAAATCTCGGAAACTATAAGAGCTAGAAAACGAGCTCTAACGCCCACAAACCGCGGAAAGCTGTGGCGTCCATAATATTTTAGAGTATGTTTTCGTTTGACCTTGTATAACATATTTTTGTCCATATCAATCGATTTACCAAAGATTTTTCAAATCGGAATATTATTTCGATATTTATCAAAAAATTAAGGTTATAAAACCTCACATGGGTAGTAACGTCACTATCAGTTACTCAACATGCTTTCTCTGACAATACGTGGCACTTGGGGAATTTCCACTAGCAAAATGAATATTTTTAAATTGTGTAATACAGTAACGGGATCTTAAAGTCGCGGCCCTCGACTATAGCGTTTCCTCCTGCACTTTTTATTAAGAAGAATCCGTGTATGGTTGATCCTAACTTTCTAGATTTTATAGTTTTAGCCATTTTTGTTTTCCGGCTTTTATGGGCGTTAGCATCAGCGTTGGAAGATGCGGAAAAAATAATAAATAAATAAATAAAGAATAAATTTTCTATGACTTATACAATATTTACCGATATTTCAGCGTTCTTTGAGAATGCTGCGACCTATTCTTGCGGTTGGTGGTCGTAAGAGTGGGCGGGGCTAGATAATGGTACAACCTTGAGATGCTCTTGCATTTTAAGAATATACCTGCTTTGTATCGGTATTCTAGCTCTTATAAAGTATTTTGAAAGATCTCAGTGGTTTTAGTTTTTTTTTTTATTCTAGTAAATAGGTTAACCATATTTATATATATTATATATACAAAGGTTATTAGTTCGTTGGTGAAAAATATATTTTTTACGTACTTGTGTATTCTAATACATTGATCATGATGACCCTGGGTGGCTATCATGACATCTGCTTCATCTAACACAAAAACGGTTATTTTTTTCATCTCGAATAGACGAAATTTTAAGCCCCAGTCTAAAAGTTTTCCGGGGGTTCCAATAAGAATATGTTCCTCAATTTTTTTACTGCGATTAACTTAAAATAAAATTGAAAAAATGAGTTCGTAAGAATAATTTCAAAAAACAGAATTTACATACCTTCTTCACCTCGGACTGCAAATCTTAGTTTAATATCCGGACAAAATTGTCCCATCCGTGCTGCGACTTCACCAGTTTGAATAGCCAACTCGTATGTAGGGGATAAGCAAAGAACCTAAAATAGTATTCCACATTTTTTATATGTAAACGGCGGGACAATTAAAAATTAATTTTTTATATATACTTATTTAATAATTTTTTCAGTGTGAAATGGGTGTGTTTATACCCGTTACTCGTAGATTAAAAGGGTATACTAGATTCGTTGAAAAGTACGTAACAGAAAGAAGGAATTTTTTCCGACCCTATAAAGTATATATATTCTTGATCAGGATGAATAGCGAAGACGAATGAGCCATGTTCGTCTGTCTGTCTGTCTGTCTGTCTGTCCGTATGAACGTTGAGATCTCAGGAACTATAAGAGATACAAAATTGAGATTAGCCATGAAGATTCTTGAGGTCCCTACGCAGCGCAAGTTTATTACAGCATCCTGTCACGCCCACTCTAACGCCCACAAATCGCAAAAAACTAAAATTGCTAATATCTCAGGAACTATTGGAGCTAGAAAGTTGATATTCAAAAAGTATAATCTTTAGATACCAGCACATCTTATAGTAGTACTATCCGGCCACACCCACCTATACGCCCATAAGGCTCCAAAGACGGTTTTCGGATTTTCTAGAAAAGCTGATATCTCGGTAAAATTGCTGAAATCTCAGGAACTATTGGAGCTAGAAAGTTGAAATTCAAAAAGTATAATCTTTAGATGCCAGCACATCTTATAGTAGTACTATCTTGCCACACCCACCTATACGCCCACAAGGCTCCAAAGACGGTTTTCGCATTTTCTAGAAAAGCTGATATCTCGGTAACTATAAGAGATAGAAAGTTCTGATTAAGCATGTAGGTTTTATGATGCTCCCAATGCGAATTGTTTTTCCGACCAATCCACGCCCACTCTAACGCCCACAAAACCCGAAAAACCAAAAATGCTATCAATAGCGAAAACGATTGAGCCATGTACGTCTATCCGTCTGTCCGAACGTGAGATTTCAGGAACTAAAACAGATACAAAGTTGAGATTAAGCATGAAGATTCTAGAGGTCCCTGGACATCGCAAATTTGCTAAAATATCAGTAACTATAAGAGCTAGAAAGTTGAAATTCAGTATGTATATTCTTGGTATGCCAGCACATCTTATGGTGGTATCAATATCCGGCCACACCCACCAAGCGCAAAAAAGTTTTTCGCATTTTCTAGAAAAGCTGATATCTCGGTGATAGAAAGTTCGGATTAAGCATGCGAATTGTTTTTTTCCGATTAAACCACGCTCACTCTAACGTCGACAAAACCCGAGAAACCAAAAATGCAAAAATCTCGGGAACTATAAGAGCTAGAAAGTTGTGCTTAAGAATACGTATTTAAAAGATGCCACTGTAACTTGCCCCTAGTTTTCATTCACGCCCACTATAACGGTCACAAATCGGGGAAAACTGTGGCGTCCATAACATTATAGTGAATGTTTTTGTTTGACCTTGTATTACAAATTACACTATTTCGCTATTTATAAAGAAATTTAAGTTTTAAGGCCTCACATCGGCAGTGACGTCACTATCAGTTACTCAATATGCTTTCTCCGACAATAGGTGAAACTTGGGGAATTTCAACTAGTAAAATTAATATTTTAAAATTGTGTAAAACAATAACGGGTATCTTATAGTCGCGGCACTCGACTGTATAATGTCTATTTTTGTTCTGCTGGCGTTATAGGGAGCCATATGTCCAGATGGGAGCCATATGTCCAGATGGGCTTGAGGGTAGAGTTGTAGAGCAATATATTTCAGACGCAGGGGTGAACGGGCGTTAAGAATCCAGTGGAGGCTGTTGGCTTTCAGTTCTAGATGTTCTTTTTTGCATTGGATATGTCTTCTCCAGGATAGTCATCGCCGATAGAGGACGCCGAGGTACGTTACATCGTTAACTTGGGGAATCTGCGTGTTATTCAATGATAGTGTAGGGCAAGTTTGCCTGGATGTTGCTGTCTTCCACTTTACTGCGAAGGTTCTTTTGTATAGATACGGCTCAAGAAGCTTATGAATGTATCCTGGCAAATGTGTTTTAATTTTGTGCTTGAGACCATCTAGCCATACTCGATCAAAGGCTTGCGCTGCAGTATTCCCGATGCTCAAAGGCTGTGCGAATTTCTGATGTTATTCTGTTTACTTGTTCAATTGTTCCATGGTTTTGACGGAAGCCAAATTGATGAGCAGGGATAAGATTGTGTGCTTCTATATATGGTATTGGTATGGTATGCGGGTTAGAACACATTTTTCGAACAACTTAGACAAACACGATAATAGCCTGATTAGTCTGTAGGATGACGAAATTTTATGGTCTTTTCCGGGTTTCGGTATCACAATGACAATAGATTTTTTCCATTTTTTTTGGATAGTAGCCGAGTGTCATGATCCCATTGAAGAGCTTACAAATAACCTCAATGGCAGAGTTTGGAAGATCGGTTATCATTTTTGGGGTTATTTGGTCACCGCCAGGAGCCTTTTTCTGTTTCAGTTCCCCAATGACTTTCGCGATCTCCTTCGGCTGAAAGAATGGTGGCAAGGAAATAAATTCAGATTCGATTTGTAGTAGTACAAATGAATCAGTGGCAGGGTTCGGCTGCAAGACATTTCTGAGATGTAAAGCAAAAGTTTCGGCTCTATCTCTTATCGGCTTGACTGTTTCGATAGGGGAGCTCAGATTTGGATGAGCCCTCCACAGAGGATGTTTTGTACTGGTTGGCGAAAGTTTTTTAATATACCGCATGTGTGCCTTTTCCGCTTCTTGCCTTAGAGCCTTGAGTGTGCAAGTGGCTTTATTAAGATGTTGTTTTGATGACGGCGATCTTTTGGTTTGCCAGGCACGTCACAGGCTTCTCTTTTCTAAGACTGGCCGTCAATTTGCAGATTAGTTTTGAGGTGGTTGGTGTGCATCTCTCTGCCTTGTGGTGCTACTATAGCAGCACGAATACTTCTTCAAGAGTATCGGTAGAGCCGTCGATGTCCGCTGCGAGGATAAATTGAGGGTTTAATTTGATGAGCTTACATACTTTATGTATTTTAACCAGTTGGTTCTGTGCGACGTCGTCGACCTGTGGGGGTCATCTGTAATTTTTGTGCTTTGAAGGAGAGTTATTTGCACTGGAGAATGGTCTGATGACAGGTCCGAAAGTGCTCTGGCGCTTATTAAATTTCGTGGAATATTTTTTGTCACCGCAAAGTCTATTAGGTCTGGGACTTTCCGGGGGTCTGTTGGCCAGTATGTGGGGGCTGCCGGGGGAGACGTAGTCTAATTTGTTGTTTGGTTTTATGATTGCATTGTATAATTGCCTTCCTTTGGGAGTCACAAGGCGTGATCCCCAATGCGTGTGTTTAGCATTATAGTCCCCTGCGGCTATAAAACGATCCCCAAGCAGGTTGTAGAAGTCCATTAATTGTCCTTCAGAAATTGTAAAGCGAGGTGCGCAGTAGACAGCGGCTATGGTGAGGTGTCCGTTTCCTGACTGAACTTGAATAGGCATGGCTTGCAAATAATTAGTTGCAAAACTTCGATGAAAGTGATGCCTGATGCGTTCCCTGATTAGGATGCCGGCTCCGCGTTGGCTTTACCATCTGGATGATCTGTGCGGTAGAGTGTATCCTCTTACTTGCAAGTTGTATTTGTTCGTTAGGTGCGCCTCTGCCAGTATCATAATGTCGATTATCATTCAAAAACTGTGTTACTTCATGGTTGTGCCGTGAAACGCCATTGGCGTTCCACATCGTTATTCGTAGATTTGCCATCTGTTATTTGGACTGCTTAACTGTAGCTGTAGCACCATGTTCTGGTTATGAACCAGTGCTTGCATGGTCGTTTTCATGAATGACATGAATTCCATCATACTTTGTTGCATGGTGATCATCATAGATTCCAGAGTGCCTTGCGATTGAAGTTGGGTCTGTTGAGCGTTTCCTAGATTAGGCTGGGGTGGGTTTTCCGTCCCTGATCGAAGGGCATCGGCGTATGAGAAGCCCTTCTGGGTATTTAGTTGACCCAGTGACGATCTTGCAGCCGTGTCGGAAAATACTTCCGGCGTCGTACGCGGGTAATTGTACACATTTTGGCTATTCTGATGACGCGTTGCTGTCACTTTTAGGCATTGGGTCCTTTATCTCCTTGTAGATTGGGCAGCCTCTGTAATTTGCCGTGTGGTTACCTTGGCAGTTGACGCATTTTTTTTTTTTTTGGGTCTTCTTTGTTGGCAGGGCAGTTGGCCGAATTGTGGAAGTCTCCACAAGCTACTCAGACTGTTCGAAGTGAACAGTAAGCCCTGGTGAGTCCATACTCCTGACAATTTGTGCATTGCACTGGGCCGTTTCTTTTATGTGGCTCTTCCACGGTAATTCTTCGGTGCAATAAGTATTGCAATAAGTATTGGAAGTAAGTGTGTACTTTGCCCAGTGCAGACGTGTTTTCTTCAGCGCTCTCACAGTGTGCTGGTAAGCGTAGTAACAAACGGAAAAAAAATATTAAAATAAAAGCGAAAGGACGCTGGCAGCAATGCCAAATAGCAAGGGTTTTGATTCCCTGCAATCTTAACATCTAAACCACAAAAAAAACAAATAATAAGAAATAACAACAAATGCCAGCAACCAAGCCAATAACTAGCGCACCCGGAAAACAAACGACTCAAAGCCGCGAAAGACAACAACAGCAACAAGACGAGCGCCGACTCTCTGGTGCTCAAAACAACGCGTACTTTTCGTATGTCTCTCCGGAGCCAAAAAGTAGTGCAATGTCGTTGACCGCAACCGAAGACGTCCGCTCTCTGTCGCCCCGACTCCTAACCCCAAGCAGCGTTGCCGTTACTCAGTCTTGGAGCTCACAATGCCCTTCCCCCCTTTCCTCGATCGATGCACTGCCGGCAGTTTGGGCAATCTCTTCTACGGAGTCATCGGTAACTACCGTTTCTGCAAATACAACAACAACTGCGTCTACGATGTCGTCGGCTCTCCAGCCAATTCTCTCATCGCAAGCTGAACCAACAACAACCACAGCTACTGCCTTTACTTCAGTTACAA